GGCTTAGCAGACTTTGTGATTCAGTTGGATGCAAATACTAAATTATTAGAGTCTAAAATGAAAGAAACTGAGGAGAATTTGGATGACAAGATCCAAAAAATTAAAAAGGATTTGGCAAACACTCAGGATAATAGTTCAGAAGACAAACTTAAAATGGAGGCTGATCAAAAGACTGGTAATGAAGAAAATGTACAACAGAGGATTGAAAGAGAAGTTTTAATGATCCAACATAATTTTACAGAATATGCAATTAGACTGAGAGGTCTGCAGGAAAATAACAGAGATGACTTAAGGAAAATATCTTCTGAGATTCTGGCTGGGATTTTAAAGGTTCAACCTGATGAAGTGTTTTGCAGGATTGACAGAATTTATAGAATAAACTCCTGGTTTGCAAAGCAAAGGCAATTGCCTAGAGATGTGGTGATTTATTTCACGGATAAAGAAATTAGGAATAATATTGTGCAGAATTCCTTTAACTCTACTTTGCAATTTTATGGAAGAAAGATTTGGATTTTTAAAGAGCTCCCGCCTAAGATGTTAACGGAGAGGAAGAAATTTGGTTTTCTAGTGACTGAGTTAAAAAAAAGAAATATCCTATTTAGGTGGGATGTTCCAATCGGTTTAATATTGAGATATCAAGGAGAAAGATACCAACTGAATACTGTTGAAAAAGCGGGAGAATTTTATCAAAAAATTTTGAAAATGAATTTAACATCTTTAGGCATAACACAGGACAAGCAAAAGGAGCTGGAAATAAAGGGAAAACATCAAATTACAGAGGCTGTGGTAGATAAACTGTCTTCGGACTCCTTGGATACCCCAGCTGGACTGTCTATAAATTTGAGAGCAGTGTCATCTGATTCTAATGTGATGAATTATCAAGTTACAGACAAGTGCGTAAATCAACCAGTTGATATACAAGTGATGGAAAAGACATATGAGATAATAAAACAAAACCAACAAGATCAATTTACAAAGCAGAATGACAACCGATCAGCTGATACACAACTTGTAGGAAGGAAATCTGGATGGAAATGCAACCCGCAAAAGAAAAAGAAAAGAAACAGATCTCGTAGAAATAGTAGTTTCTAAACCAAGCAACAGTGAAGCCAGGGATTTTAAAAAATAAATGAATATGTGAAAAGATATTGGAGGCGAATTATCGTTTAATACTATCTTGAGGAAAGTGGCAGATCTCTGCAATGCCGTGATTTTGGGATGTGGAAAGAGCCTTACATTGTTGGATTTGAACTATCTATTTTGGATTTCTTTTACCGATAAATATATTATAATTATTTTGAGTTACAAGGCAAGAGAGTCATGCTGGGGCATGCAGAAGATCTGGCTGTTACCCACTAAGATGATGGGAATTTATAATCCTGATGAAAACCACAATTACAACTATATGGAATATAATTATAATGTCACTCGGGTGGTTGTTTTTACTTTTATATATACATGAGGATATTCATTATTGATGGGGGCAGAAGATGACTGAAGATTTTGAATAAACTGTTGCACCAGGATGCTATGTTACCCTATTATGGATGATGGATTTAACAATCTAGTGGAAAGACATCAAAGAAGATACTAAATGAATTATAAATTTAAAGTTATTGTCTTTTCTCTTTTTATAAAATGGAATGTATATATAGACATATGTATATTTTAGCAGAGTGGGCAGTGGATTATATTTAGAATTGTAGTGTATGGTAATCTTGCAGGAAACTGGGTTGAAATAGGCTAGTTTAGTGATTGATTAGTTTAAGAAAAAGGATTTTTAAGTCATATATTTTGGGGAGTGGAAGAATTGGATAGAACTGAATAAATGTTAAATTTGGAGAAGGCTGCTTTGAAATGTTATATTAATATATATAAAAGATTAAAGGTTATGTTGTTGTAATAATAATAATATTTTATAAGTTTGGGGGAGGAGAAAAAGGGTAGATTATTGCGAAAAGCGGAGTTATAAGAATATTATGCTAAGGGTCAGTACTTTGAGGAGTGAGTAAGGGCATGGTAAAATATTATGTAATTAATTATGAATTAGCTTATTGTTGTGAAGAAGAAGTCACAGGGGGGATGGGTGGTGAGGGGGGGTTAGGGAAGAGGGGGGGAAAGGGGGAAAAACTTGTATTTGAAAACTTTTTCAATAAAAAAAAAAAAAAACGGAGCGCCCACGATTCCACTGGCTAGGAGGTGGGGAGGAAACATTAGAAACAGAATTATTTTGATCTCAGTAAACGGTTGCCTGGGCTTAACTAAGCCAGGTTAAAACGGAGCCGCATCATTTTGTTCTGACATAACATCTGATCAGGTGTGTCTGTCTTTTCCCAGGTACGGATTGAGGACGACATTGTGGTGACAGCCAATGGAATGGAACTGCTGACTTGCGTCCCTCGTACGGTTCAGGAAATCGAAGCGTTCCTCTCCGAGTCTCAGGGCAGCACCAAATCCTTTGCTTCGGCTTCTAGCTAGGTGCCCATTCCTCATTTGCGGTTTGGGGCTCCTTGCAGCCTGCCCAGCACCTCAAGAAAAGCCTGCTTATAAAGGAAAGAAGCCTTCCAAATCCAACTCTCTTTTTTTCCTATGGGAAAAGATACGGGGGGAAAGCGAGGGTACCAATGGCCAAATCTGATTATGCTTGACTCGATTCTCCCTCTTGCCTCTTTACAAGTTTTGCCCTGAGTGATGGGTGTAGCTGCTGATAAGCAAATACAACGATCAGTGCAACCAAATCTTCTCCTCTTAATAGCCCATAAAGAGCACAAGTTCTGCCAATAAAATAAATGAATAAAAAGTGTTGCTTTGAAGATTGCTTTGGCCTCCCGTATCTATTTATTTATTTTGTCGCATTTCTATGCCGCCCAACTCCCAAGGGACTCTGGGCGGTTTACAACAAAGAATAAAACAATGCGAACAATCATATAAAAAATGTTAAAAAGAAAAACATTAAAACATTCAAAACTTTAAAAACGCTAAAACACATGCACTCCAATTTGTGGCTGGGTCTCGCCAGATCACAAGAGCGAGATCAACGGCCCCAGGCCTGCCAGAAGAGCCAAGTCTTCACCGTTTTTTGGAAGGCCAGTAGGGTGGGGATGGTCCGGACCTCAGGAGGTAATTGGTTCCAGAGAGCCAGGGCAGCCACAGAGAAGGCCCTCCCCTGCGGGCCCGCCAGCCGGCATTGTTTAGCTGACGGGACATGGAGGAGACCAACTCTGTGGGATTTTACCTGTCGCTGGGAGCTATGTGGTAGAAGGCGGTCTCGAAGATAGCCTGGCCCTGAGCCATGTAGGGCTTTAAAGGTAATGACCAACACCTTGAATTGCACCCGGAGACCAATAGGGAGCCAGTGCAGCTCGCGGAGAATCGGTGTAATGTGGGTGTATCTAGGAGCACCCACTATAACTCGCACGGCTTTTTCAGAGATCCTCTTTTCAGCGTTCAGGTTTTGAAAGGTTTGACTATGTCCCAGTCGCCTTAAAGGGGAGGGTGGAAAGGAAGCCCCTCTGGTCTGCTTTGGTCCCCAGTTTCCCCACAACCCCAGGTCGCCTTTAGCCCAGGAGAAAGAGAGAGGAGCAACTAAGTTCTTGCCACTCAACTTCCAGCCCAGGATTGTTCTCATCATGCTCACTGGCGTGGCTTAGTGACCATGTTGGGTTATTCTTAAGCATGTAACTCCCAACATTTATTTCCTTGACAAAGGACTCCCAATTTCACATTCTGCCCAACTGTACTTTGCAATGGAGAAACAAAACTTTTGCCCATTGTGGCCACAGGACACTGCAAGTGGATGCAAAGGTGAACTGGTTACCAAGACGTGTCCAAAATGTGGTCACATGACCGCAGGGGTGGCAGGTCGCCTGACATTTACAATGGTCAGAAGTGCTTTATGGGCCATAAGGTGCCCATTCTGGTCCCATCATAATTTTGACCTATCGTTAACGATAGGTCATAAGTCAAGGATTTCCTGTAAAGTTTTACTTCAAAACAGTGTTTCATTGCCTTATATACCTTAACAGAATTTCCTTTCGTTATACCTTTTAAATGAGAAACCTGCAAACAAAAATCTGAAGAATAGTCCTTTAAAAAGCAGAGAGATAAGAAAGTATGGAATCTGTAGAACTAAAAAATTATACAAGAGGAATCAATCACAAGCAACTTGAGTATGTACAAGACTTTCAAAAATATTTACAGAACACTTGAGTAGGAAAATAAAATGCCAAGGTATTAGGATACTAATTAAAAGAAGCAAAATGTGAGCCTGATCTGTGTTGCAACAGTTGTAAAGGATGGAAAGATGCAAACAGCTTTTTGGCTTCTATGATGTAGTAGATAAATGTTTATTAGGGATAAATTTTAAAAGTGATGCTAAGAATGCAATAAGAATGGTTAATATGAAAAACCGAGTACATAAATAAATACATTTAGAATTGAATGAAAGCCAGAACTGAAGAAAGGGAGCAAACAAGCTAAATTGGGATCCCCCAAATTAGATGAATGTTTCTCCTGGCATGAAAGAACTAGATATCCCTCCCCAATAGAAGCTTCAAGTAAAATGTAAAATCCAAGTAAAATAAAAGTATGTTGCAAGCACTTTAAAAAAAGTAATTTGAAAAAGTATTTGAAAACTTGATTATGACTGGCTTTTAAGGAAATTGCGGATATGGATTGGAAAATAATCTCTTACCTGTATTTTACATTTTTAAATGTCACATTTAATGCATTTATATACTAAGAAATTTTATATATAAAACATGACCTTTATTGGAGGAGAGGGGGATTCTGTAGGTTTTTAAAACTATTCTGTGTGCAATGATTCTTGCATAGTGTACTCAGGTATATTTTTATACCTCTCCAGGGTAATCTTCTAACCCCAGCCTCCAGGCCCCTTTCTAGTCTCTCCAAATTCAGTATTATTGGAACTGCAGCTTGTTAGCCTCAATTAGGCTTCAAATACAAATTATTACAGCTTTACAGAAATATAGGTCAGCATGTTGTTGTAAGGCTTTTTATTAATATTTTCTACCACAATCGAGTTTTTTCTAAATACATGTACAAACACAGTAACTTCGAAAAAGGGGAGGTATAAAAGTCATTTTCACTAGTCCAGTCATATGCAAACATACTATGAATGGAGAGATTGTGAAAGAAAATAAATTAATGTTTCATGAACTTCCCTGCTCTGTTAAATATGTTTTCTTCTACTCAAAATAATATATATACCACCAGCATTTGAAGCATCAAAAAGCCTCATGTTTGTGGCCACATGATTGCCATAAAGCAAAAGATGTGATTTTATGGACTGTTGAAAAGATGATCACGTATTTTTGGTTCACTGTGGAATTAAATTTGAACCTGGGTAAGTGAGGTCTTGATTTTTTTCCCCTTCTCAAACAAGGAATTCCTTCTGGTCAGGAATCCTCCTCTTTTGGAGTCTCAAAAGCAAAGTAGTTCTGCTATAGGTCGTTACAAAATTAAGATCTTGCTGAAGATGGGAGAAGGGCATGATATGGCTCTTCTGTTGTGGCTTTTATTTATTTATTCATTTTATTTATTAAATTTATGCCACTCATCTCACTATCAAGAACAACTCTAGGTATCTGTTTTTTCTCATCCTGCCTTTATTATTTTTATAAATAAAGCAGTGAACATACCTAATAGTCCTTCCTCCTCCTCTCTTCCTCACAGCAACAACTCTGTTAAGTGAGCTGGATTTTCATGCCAGGACTGAATGAGAGTGACTGGCCCAAAGTCACTCAGCTGCCTTTCAGGTCTAAGGCGGAACTGGAATCTACTCTCTCCCGAGCCTTCATCACTAAACCAAAGTAGCTCTCAATTATATTGAATGTTATCTGTCCCCAAACCATTGCAAACCTTGAAAATGTGACTCTGAAACAGAATTGATCTTGGAACAAGCCACAAACACAAAACCATGGAGTTAGGGCCATTTATGCCTTTGTGGGAGCTTAAAGCTGCATGAATCCATCCGGTGATGAAGTGACAGCCTTGAACCTGTATGCAGACCTCAATTTCCATCCACACACTGGGCCAGGGGACTCCAACCTTGGCAACTTCAAGACTTGTCAAGAAAAGTCATAAAGTTGCCAAGGTTGGAGACCCCTGCTCTAGGCAACTCACTGAGGGGTTGCTGGAAAGCAGCAGCAGCTGGGGAAACCCTGCCTTACCTCCCCCCAAAAAAGAAAACAAAATTCCTATGCAGATACAGCAGATATTTGTTGATAGTCACTATAGTTGCCCAATTCCATTTGGCCACAGGGATGAAGGTGGAAGATGCTCCCACCTAGAGCAGACCCATTTTCGGACCACAGATCGGGTAGGGCTTGGAGAAAACCACGACCCTGGTGTGTTAGCCAGCTGTCCTGCCTTTCCCTTAACCAAACAATTCGTTAGGCACCGCTACTGAGCAAACCTCAACTACAGGAGTTGTACACAGCAAGTATTTGGACTACATATTTGAAAATCCCAACCTATATTACAAAATAAGCCATGCACTACCAAAATAAGTAGAAAAGGAAAATTTTAAAGCTTATTTAATCAACTCTTCAGCTGATTATCAGTATATGGATATTGGTTACCCTGCTGAAAAAAAAGCTGTCAACCGAACAACTAATTTAAGGCTTTCAACCATTTCATAAAGATATTTTGGTGAAGTATGTAAATTTGCACATGAATATCTGAGGATTGTTCACACTTTCTTTGAAGCACACGTGCCTCGCAGAAATCATTTTGAAAGAGGCACCTCTTCCTGGGCAAGATAAACTGGAGACTGAGGAGACTGTCCGTAAATTCTTACCTTAAAAACAATTTATATTTTGAAAAAAGTATTTATTGCCCAATCATCATGCCCAGAAAAGATTAAAATAATTTAATAAATGATGCAGTCCTAATTTTAGTGACAATAATTTGAGGATGTTTCCCTATTCCTTTCATTTATCAAAAAACCGACAAGAAAATACATTAACACTTAATTTAAAACAAATACTTAACATAAACGTTCAATTTCCTGGCCTCAAACAGAGGGATAAGTCTACTGAAAAATGATGTCAAAAACGAGAGATGATACAAAGTTTAGAGCAGATTCGTCTCCATTCTATTCTTCAGCTGGCCAAGGGAAGTCCACCCAGTTTATCTATTGTCCGGATCCATCTGAATGTGCTTCAGAGTTTTCTGTGCCCAGAGGTTGCGCACTGTCTGTGAAGTTGTGGGCGTGCTCAAGGAACAAATCTTTCAGTACACTCAGCTCCTTCGTAAGGAGTTTGATTTTGGCTTCCAAGCGTTCATTTTCTTCTTTCAGCTGGTTTACCCTCTGGAGGGTGTCCTGGGCTTTCTGTTTACTTTTCAAGCGGCTCTTTTTCACCGCCATGTTATTCCGTTCCCGGCGCTGGCGGTATTCATCACTGTTTCTATCGACAAGGGAATTCTTTTTGCCCTGCTTGCTGGGAGGTGTAGCTTTGCCCCCACCTCCAGGACTAACGGGCACCAGCTGAGGAACTTGTTGCAACCCACTGGTGTGCGCTTGGGTATAGATGACACTTACTCCATTGGTTTCTGCAGCTGTGTTCTGTTGTGATGTCTTGCTCATTTGGACAAGCTCTCCTGTAGACCCAGCGTGAGTTATAAGAAAAGATATATCCTGGAATTTCAAGGTATTTCTGGAGCCGCTTCCCACAGGCTGTCACGTGGAATCTAGAAAGAAAAAAAAATACAGTTTTGTTTTGGTTTTCTTTCAAAATGTAAAATGCAACATCCCCTCAAGATGGATTTCCATCAACATCTACAGTGGATGCCTGCCCTGACAAATGTCATAGGTGTTGTTTGCTGCAGGTATATCTTTTACCTTACATACAGTACCATATTTGGATTGTAATTCATTCACAGTTGTACCAACCGTATCTCAAATTACATGCTGTCAGATATAAGATGAACATTTTGCCCTATGAGCGCCTAGCATTAATTCATTATGTTATTATACATGCGGTATTGGTAAAACCAGCATTAGCTTAAACTGACTCGATCGTGGGTTGCATACCAGCGTAAGATGAATGCCAACATCTATTCCAATACAAAATTATTACCACTCATGCTAGGCTACCATCTTAAGTAGGTCTGTGGGTGGGCACAAGATAAATCGAGGCTAAGGCTTCAATGCAGTGGTGAAATGTAAAATTTGTTACTACCGGTTCTGTGGGCGTGGCTTGGTGGGGGGGTAATGTGACTGAGTGGGCGTGGGTAACTTTAAAAAAAAAACTTTTGAAAGCATTTTTTCTATAACTTCTTCGGCTGAAGAGGTTGTAAAAAAAATGATTTTAAAAGGCTCTGACAATCCAAGCTGTTTTTTTTTTAAAAAAGTTGTTTTTTTTTTTGCTTTTAAAAGAAAAAAAAGCCTCTGACGATCAGGCAACTCAGCTGGGATGGCCGAAGAGGTTGTTAAAAAAATGCTTTTAAAAGGCTCTGACGATCCCAGCTGAGCTGCACGATCATCAGAGGCTTTTTTAAAAAACTTTTAAAAGTATGGAGTGTGATAATCTTCTATGAATGCACGCATTTTGGCCTCCAGATGCAAGCATGCTCAAAAATCATATGCAAACCATTTTTTTCTGCATTCCATCTTAGCTTGCTTAAATTATTTCAATGGCATATTTTAACAGCTATATAGCTTTTTTTTTTTTTTTTTTGCTTTAATTTATATGCCGCCCTTCTCCGGAGACTCAGGGCAGCTTACAATGCATTAAGCAATAGCCTTCATACTTTTGTATATTTATACAAAGTCATCTTATTGCCCCCCACAATCTGGGTCCTCATTTTACCTACCTCAGAAAGGATGGAAGGCTGAGTCAACCTTGAGCCTGGCGAGATTTGAACTTGCAGTAATTGCAAGCAGCTGATGTTAATAACAGTGCTTTAGTCCACTGTACTACAGGCTCTTCCTATAGCTGTATAGTGAATATGATTTTCCTATTGAAAACTGCAACTTTATATCCAGGAAATTAAGTCTCTAATGTAAATGCTCTAATTACAAGCGGTCATGTTAGCCGCTTGATCTTATTACTGCTCCCCTCTTAAGCAACCTCAGCAACATACTGGGATGCTTTCAGCCATCACAGAGAGATCCCTAGTGGATGGACGTCTAGTTTCCAATTTCACAACCTTCTCTTGGCAACGGTGCTCACTGTCTAACTTCTGCTCTATTTTAAAGATCTTCACCAAATTCTTTCCAGCTGGAATATAATGGAGGAATGAGCGGGGGGGGGGGAGGAAGGGGGAGCAAGAACAAGGCTATTTGGTCTTCTAAAATTTGAATATGAAGAATCCCCCCCCCCCCGGCTTTCCAAATGGCCTCAGTTCAACATGCATCCAATATGGCTCCAGTACTATGTCACTAACAGGTAAGAGATGCTGTTCAGGCGAGAGCCATCTAAACGTCAAGCTGTCTAAGAATTAATTCCTCTAAAACGCAGAATGTGATGCAAAGTTTAACGACTTGGGGGGATGAAACACAGACACCTCCATATGCTCAGACATACTAGTTTTTTTAGCATGGAACAGTCAGTATTCCAGCGTTGTGGGGAAACAGTGTTATATTTATTTATTTAGTAAGTTTGTACAACTACCCATTGCTGATGCTGAGTAGCATTCAGAGTTTAAACAAAGCCTTAAAAACCATTATAGAAACAAACATAAACAAAACCACAGGAAAGTGTGTGTAAAGTTTTGCATATAATGTAACCATTTTGCTGGCTCCCTATTTCATGGGGTCCCCAAGTTTGCTGACAGGACTAAGTTTTAAGAGATTTCCAGAAAATCAATAGTCAGGGCCCATCTCACCTGGAAGGGTGGGGAGACAATGCTAACAGACACGTACCTCACCTGACCAGATGGGATAGGCAAATGGTCCTTCAAGCAATTCGGCCCCATGCCATGGACTAGGTAGGATTTTAAAGGTCAAAAACTGTGCCTTGAATTTAATCTGAAAGGAAACTGGCAACTAATGCAGCTCATGAAGCAAAGGTATAAATGGGCAGTTCTGGAGTCGCAAATCTAGGAGGAGCCCCAGATTGAGCACATGGTCTGTTTGGGACAATGCAAGCCCCATCCAGCATCAAAGATGATAAACTCCAAAATCTGGAAACATACAAAACCCAAAACGGCTCAATATTGCCAGGATTCTGCTGAAGCATGTGGTTCCCCCATCCAGACTCCCCCAGCCTCCAGACATGAGCATCACTGCTTAGTTTATTTGGGACAAAGATGCACGACTGGGTACCATCAGCATACTGACTGTACCTCTCCTTACAGAGATAGATGACCTCCCCCAACCCCTTCTTATAAGATTATCCTTAGATAGCGTAGCAAACCCTGCAGGACCCCAGATAGTAGGGGCCGAATGGGGCAGTTCTCACTCCTGACTGGAATCAGCTCTACAGGGAGAAAACCAGCATAATACAGTCCCACTTACTCCTAAGGCACAGAGCCTATCCAGAAGTAGACTATGGTTGACCACACCAAAGGCTGCCAGGATGCACTACCCCCCCCCCCCCCGCCCCCCGGAGGTCCCACAAATGGGCAACCAGTACTGCTAAAGTTTCAAGTCTGGATCCTAACTGAAAGGACTCCAATCTCCATTTAATCCAACTGCTAATAGCTGTGCTAATTATGGAAGTGACCCAGTGACTAGAAATAAAAAAGACATTAAAGCTCAGCACTAGGACTGGGGTCCCCAACCCCTGGTCTATGGACCAGAACCGAGCCCCCCAAGGAGCGAGTGAGCGTGTGACGCTTCATCTGGGTAAGCAACCATCCGCCCTGCTGCCGCTGCCAGTCCGCAGAGCCGGAAAGGTTGGGAACCACCGGCTTAAATGACAAGAGACATAAAAGCTTCTGTCCATGTGGCTAAAGCTCGAGTGTTGTCCAAATATGGGCAGAATGTTTCCACTGCAACTTTAACTGTACAGGTAAGTCCTTGAGTTACAGTCACTCCTTCAGCGATGGTTCAAAGTTGCAGCAGCATCGAGCTAGAGGGATTTAGGATGGGTCCTTGGAGTTTTCTTCCTTGCAGCATCCGTGGGTCTTACGATTGTGGTCTGGGTGCCCAGCTGGTGATTCTGACATTGTGGAAAACATGGTAACATTGCCATTTCTGATGTTCCGTCTTCCGTGCCGCCCATTCACAAGCGAAGTCAGTGGGGAAGTTGGCATGAAGTGCAGGTCACACCCATTTCTGTTTGAACAGCTGCCCTCCCTAGGCCTGCGTGAAGAGCTTGCCTGCTCCCACCTGATTTGCACTCCTTAGTGCCTCCCTGTAACAAAAGCCTGCCCTCCTTGGTGCCCACACACCTACTGGTTAACTCTCCATAGTATGAGCCCTTAAGGCTTAAGCACATTGATACTGCTTGATATTTTAGGTCAGGTGAGATTCCTGTCAGATTAGATTTTTGCAGTTTCCACAAATTTGCAGCTAGCAGAATTTGTGTTAATGACAGATTCTGGCCCCTTGTTTCTTAGTAGCTATACCAAAACAAAAAGCAATCTGGTCAAGTTGAACTTTTCTCAATCTTTGATATCGGCCTTATTAGCCAGTCTCAAAAGTTATTGATATCGAGCTTTGATAATTTTGATACCAAAACTGATCAGTTTTGGTACCAAAATTACCATTACTGATATGGGATTTTATGCAATTTGTGGGAGGCAGGCTAACTTTATTGTAGGTAACTGGAGATTTCAAATTCACCAAGGAAGGGACGTTGGTCTTACCGTTGATACATCCTTTCTCGTAGTGTGGAATGGGAGGTGCCAGGCTGGGTTATTCTATGCTCTAGCTCTATGGACTGAGTTGAATCTTTTGAGGTTCCGCCTCCCTGGTGACGTTCCTCAGTTTGACAATGAAGACGAAGCGAATGCTAAGCCTGCGAAGAGACAGAAACAAAAAAACACTCCCCACCCAATGGGAGTCAGACCAGGCAGGAAAAAGGGTGGGGCTGGCACCTCCCATTCCACGCTACGAGAAAGGACGTATTGGTTAAAGTGCGGGGAGCCAACGCCAGGCTGAACGGCAAAGCCACATGTTGAAAATGGCGGCCGGCATAGCAAAACCTCAGGTACTGTTGATGGTCTGGACGAACAGGGACATGGAGGTATGCCTCTGTGAGGTCTATGGATGCTAGAAAATCCCCCTCCCTGAACCCCGCTAAGATGGAATGCAGGGACTGCATTTCGAACCTCCTTTGTGTACATTGTGTACATTACACATTGTGTAATGTAATTGTTGAGTCCCTTTAAATTTAGAATTGCTCTCTACCCCCCCACCCCCCACCCCCGAGGCCTTTGGGCTGATGAACAAGATCGAATAGAACCCTCGCCCCCGTTGGTCCGATGGAACCGGCTGAATGGCCCGAACATCCAGCAAATGCTGAATAGCCGCCTCCGTGAGTTTCCGCTTGACCGGGTCTCCTGAAATTGGACAACAGAGGAAAAGCCTCGGAGGATGGGAAATAAATTCCAGGGAGACCCCTGTTCTTAACGTCTCCCTGACCCAGAGATCTGTGGTTATCTCGTCCCAGCGATCCACAAACAGGCCTAACCTGCCCCCTATAGGAGCCTGAGGCCTGCTGTCACTTGGTGCGTTTAGCACCTCTGCCACCATTGCCACTATAGGGTCTTCCAGACTGAGGTTGTCTATCCCTGCCAAAGGTGGGTCTATCTGTCTGGTATCCCGAACTGGACTGGAAGGACCGCTGCTGTTGGGGAAAGCCTGCCCCAGCTCCCCCCTGCCTAAAGGAGGGCCGCCGGAAGTAAGGTGTCGGACAGAAATCAGCCCGTCTGCCCTGGGAAGGGAGCACCTTCCTCTTGTCACTGGTCTCCACCAGTAAAGGGTCCAGTGACTGGCCGAATAAGTGTCCCCCGTCAAAGGGGGTAGAGACAAGCTTCCATTTGTTTTTAGCATCCATGCGCCAGTGACGTAGCCAGAGCATACGTCGAGCGGTAACAGAGGATGCCATGGCCCGGGCAGAAAACTTGGCGGAGGCTAAAGTTGCGTCAGCGGTGTATTCTGCCGCCGCCAGAATATTGGACAAGTCCTGATGAGCACGGACATCCTCAGCCGGTAAGTGGGACTGCAGCTGCCTGAGCCATCTGACTGAAGCCCTGGTAAAGAAAGACGCCGCTGTAGATGCTCTGATAGCCCAGGAATTCGCCATGTGAGCCCGGCGGAGGGCTGTCTCTTCCCTGCGTTCTTCTCCCTTCAAAGCGTCCTCCGCATCCGGTGGTAGAATGGAGGAAGAGGTCAACGCAGCCACCGGTGAATCCACTTTTGGTAATTGCAGCAAATTAAGTAGGTCTTTGTCAACGTCAAAAAGCAGGTTCTCTTGCCCAGTGGCCCGAAATGCAGAGGTCGGTGCAGCCCACTGCCTACGTATCATTTCCAAAAACATCCCTGGGATAGGGATAGTGTCTGCCCCAGCCTGTTCCGTGAACAGGAAATCATCCTGTTCTCCACTATCAGTAGTAGGTCCAGTTGCTGGAGAGGCCTTACCCAGACAAGCCGTAGCCCTAGCCTTGGCCAACAATGGTTTCAAGAGGGCCGGATTAAAGAGGCCCTTAAATGGCTTCTTGGCCAAAGAGCCATGCTTAAAATCAGAAAAATCCCTTTCTCCTTGATAGTCTTTTGAATAGAAGCTAAGTTCAGAGGGATCAGGGGAATCTGGATCCTGATAGTCCATAGCCTCAGGCAGATGCTTCGGAGGTTCCATCTCTGGAGCCGATGTATACATTTGGGCTGGCACTTGAAAATGCTGGTGCATGCCTTCACCAATGCCCCTTCGTATTGCCTCATTAACCCATTGCCTCATAAAGTGTGGCATATCCTGTTCTCCCACCTCCCCTTGGTGGAGCTCCGCTGCTGTGGGGGTAAAGGTAGCATCAGGAGTCTTAGGTGTTGCCTCTGAGGGACCAGGCCGCGGCTGTGGATCCTCTTGGGCCTCAGGAGACCAGGACCAGGCAATACCCGACATGGAAGGCAAAGGTTGGGCCTGCTGGACTGATAAATCTGGAGGCAGAGAAGCCAGCTGACGTTCTACAGATGCCTTAGCAAATTCCTTGTCAAGGGGCTTCTGACTTATCTGGGCAGTCTTTTCGTCTGCCTTAGAAGGTCCCTTAGCCCTGGCCCTTATCTTTGCAGCCGCAGCAATGCTACCTGTCCTGGGTTTGGCTGGTGCCCAGCCCGCCCTATCAGGCTGAGGTGACCAGGAGCCTTCCTCTGAAAAAGCTCCCTGTCTGCCAGAGTCATCCATATAAGTAAAAGCTAGGTCCAAAGCCTAGAGAAAAACAGTCCAGAAGAAAAAAACAGTCCAGAAGAAAAAAATGGAGACAAACTGCTCAAAGTTATAATAACCAGTCTGGCAGGCAAGCCCCAAGACCTGTTGAACACACCAAAGGGCAAAGGAAAACAATACTGGCCTGCCTCCACGATGTGAAGAAGACAAGATGGCCACCAGGATCTCAAAATGGCCAACTTCGAACGTTGCTGCCTTGCCAGGATCAGGCCACAAAGCAAGCCTGCAAGTAAAAAAAATGGCTGTTCAATGTCCAGGACTCCCATCCGTCACCATGGAGAGCCCCACAGCCCTGTGGCAATTAAGGAATGCCAGGGGAGCGAAGCCGCCCGGACTAGAGGCCGCAGAAGGAAAGCACGGGAAACAAAGCCGCCGCAATAAATTCCAAACAAACACGGACCACGCCAGGCTAAGGAGGCTAGCGTGGTCCGGTGGCTCAATCACTGATCAATGCCGCAGCGCCCAAGCACTCATACCATAAAGCGGCAAAAAAATGGCCCACACCCAGGCTGCAAGAGGCTGGCGCAGCCACCATGGCTCCGGAAGCATCCAGCAGAAAGGAGAAAGCCAGCTCTACAGCTGACTGGCGCTAGATCCAACGGAGCAAGGGAAAACCATGCCAAGGCTCAAAGAGGCTGGCGCAGCTCCAGCGGCTTCAATCAAGGCGCTCCAACTCAGCGGAGCCCAGCCGCAAGTATTGGGGCTAAGCCCCTCCAAACAGCATCCCAAGACACAGTTTAGATACCTGTGGGGGATGGGGAGGGTGGGAGGCGCCGGAATGGGCCACCCTCCAGCTCCAATCCGTAGCCACGGAGAACCCTCTCCAGCTCCAAAGAGATCCAAACTAAAAAGGCAAAATTCTAGAAGGAAAAAGAAATCACTTAAAATAATAAAAAGAAAAAAAAATTTTTCCAGGGAATTCCAGCTCTGACGCAAAGAAAAATATGTCTATAAGCTGAGACTGAGTTGAAAAAACTGAGGAACGTCACCAGGAAGGCGGAACCTCAAAAGATTCAACTCAGTCCATAGAGCTAGAGCATAGAATAACCCAGCCTGGCACCTCCCATTCCAACACTATGGAGAATGCATAATTCTGTCCTCTCATCTTTTGGAACATTTGCTGATATTTTTGAAGTACGGTTTTTAAAAACCTCTTTTCTTTGCC